TGTCTTCTCCCTGTCACTCCATCTCAGAGGCCTCATTTATGGGGACTTTAAAGACAGCAGAAACCAGACTTCCTGTACTCTTAATCCCAAGGGAATAATGTACGGTCAATGTGACCCAAGAAAAAAGGAAACTGTAAGGTGGGAAAAAAGATCACTGTTTTTTAAATGTCAGTACACACCTCTGTAAGACAGCCCAACCCGCAAAGGCAATCAGCGGAGGTCGAGATTTTTCCAGGTCTGGCTTTCAGGAAGCTCATGGGACAAAGCAAATTTTTCTGAAAGAACCGCATGGGTGGGAGTGTGTCTCTGCTCTCTGTTCCCACATCCTGGGATGCTCAGAGTCACGGGTGACGGGGACACGATAGGGAGAGGGCTGGGGAGGGGGCAGATTTAAGAACTGAAATGCAGAGGACCTTCAGAAGGACTCCTCTCTCCTCCCTGGAGCAGAATGAACTCAGGGAGAAGGAGGCAAGGGGGTGGGGAGAGCGTTCCCAGTCGAAGGAGTCGCTGAGTTAAATTACAGGGGCCTGGGAGGGATGATTAACAACCCTCATGGTTTTCTGCTTCACAGCCATTACTCACTCCAAACCTGGGGCTTCTCGGTTACATAGCCCAGCGCAGGCCGACCATTTTTTCCATTGACTGAAAACACATTCTGACTGAAAACAAACTTTGGATCCCCGAGGCTTGGCAGGCCCTGGGTCCTTCTCCATATTTAATCAACGGGAAGCTAAACACTTTCAATCTGTGATGGCTCATTTGGAAGGGGTCTCGGGGCTTTTGCTTGGTGCCAGATATAATAACTCTCCTCTCTCTTTTCTAAGGCCTATTTTATAATTTTGCTGTTTTTCAATGTCAAGCCCATCTTTTGAAGAATTTTTATTGGATTTCCTGCTAGACTTCAACGAGGATTTTTCTTGCTTTGGCAGAAATATCAAGCAGAACAGGGGAAAAACTCAATCATCGTCTTGGAAAGTCGGGATGGTGTGTGCATGGAGGGGGGGGGAGCCCTTTGTCTGTTTGCACACAAACAGGTTTCTAGAAGGCTGGAGCCCCAGTTGCCAGCTTCCAGGGGCCCTCCAACTTGTGATTCATGGGGGTGAAAATTGACAAGGCAAGGCGGATGGATGTGGGAAGAGAGGGAAGTTGGAACAGGATGAAGAGAAGAGAGGTGTGAGTGCGTAAGAAAGGCCAAGGGTGGGTAGGGCTCTACGCAGGGTCCAGGTTGCGGCCATGACACGGCCACCTGGGGTCCAGGCCTGGACCATGGAACTGCCAGGCACGCCTGTTCAGGCAAATTGCAGGGACTGTGGGGGACAGGAAGACGCTGCCCCCTTGGAGGACAGAAGACGAACTCTGCCCCCTTTCTCAACCCCTCAGAGCTCGTAAAACCCCAAGACTGGGAGGGAAGGCCACGCCCCAGAGGTTCCCAAGTTACCAGCCACAGCCAGGGTCTGCACGCCTGCTCAAGGCTACGTTCATATCTTTAATTTTTCTTCACAGAGATTATTCCTCAGGGGAAGCAGCTTGCCAGTGAGTGACAGCTTTTGTTTGCTCATGTTTTCCTCTCCTCCCAGAGTCAACTTTCAGAATATACCAGTATGTTCCTTCTCGCTTGACTTTCTTTTCTGTCTTTTTTTTTTTTATTCCCTCCCTGCGGGTGAGGGGGGAGCATTTCTACAGAATATTATCCAGAGAAGTGGTGCTTTGTCCAGCGGTGAGAGAGGGAGGGAGAGCCCTTCCGTGTCCTCTTTTTCTTGTTGTCTTGGCTTTTATTTGTTAGTGTTAAGAGGTTGGGTGCTCGCTTCATACCTCCTTGGCCACTTCACACCTGCTACGATTAGCTTCACAGTTCACAGAACTGTTTTCCCAAGTCATCTCACCTTTTTATTCCCACAACAGTCCTTGGAGATCCAACAGGCAGGTATTGGAACCATTGTTCTAGAGATGAACGTGTAAGATTCGCAGGCCAAGTGACTTGCCTGAGTCTTGGGAGCAGGAAGTGGTCAAACCCAGGTCTGAATCAAGTTGGGAACTTTTTTCTATTGTGCTATAAAATGTATGTTCTGCAAAGGAGCTCCCCAGCCCTTTAGTTGAGCTTTCCCCCAAGTAAATTCCCCAAAACAGAATATACTGGGAGTGAAGAAATCAGGGCAATTTTTTACTATATGCACAATTGCTTTCTTTGGGCTCAACTATAGGACAAGGCTCCCAAGGCACCTAAGCTACTCCTATTCTTTCCACTGCCAGTAGGAAAAAAGACACATGCAGAAGGGGTAAACTAAAATACTTGTGGAATACCCTCTCAGAGCCCAGTCCTGGACTAGAATATTGTGAGGTTTCATATGAGAAAAAGATACAGGAGGTGGGCGAGACATAGGCTCTAAGGACATTATAGCTGCAAAGGACCTTAAAGAGATCATCCCTCACAGCCCTTCACTTACCAGTGAGGAGATGAGACAGAGAGGGAACTAGGAACTCRACAGGGGCAATAAGAGACCAGATTCACCTTCATGCTAAAGAGTATGGTAGAGGCCATCAGTTCATCAGTTGGTCACAAAGAACAAAGTGATCAGGGACATGTTCTAGGAAAAAATAAAACTTGGTCTCAAACTTGAAGTGTGGGTAAAACTAGGAAGGATGGACAAGAAGAGAAGAACCATCAAAGCAGAAGGAAGAAGGTAAACTTCAGAGTCCAGAGTGTTCGTGGGACTATAAGGAAAGGGGAGGCTGAGAACTTGGATGAAGCTCAGATCATGGAGGACCCTAAGCAAACAGGAAAAGCCATGCAGAGCCAGTGAGAGGTCACTTGAAGGTCAGCATTTTGGCACGTGCTCACCATGAAGCCCTGCTCCTATAATTTCCCAAACCCCAGAACATTTCCTCCACGCCCACACCTCCCACATCTAAATTCACCCCACGGAAGCCTGTGGGCAGACAGAGGTCTTCACTCGCACTCTGTTTGGAGTCTGGATTGAGCAGCGACCACTGCAGAGTTCACCTGGCCCAGCACTTTCTGGTCTTCCTATCTCCCCCCTGACCCTCCTCTCATTCCCGCAGCTACCACCCCAGTGGTCCCTACGAGTTCCCCGACACCAAGGCCCTTGTCCGTGGCCATCCAGGGAGGTGCCAGGCAAGGACTGGTTTGACTAGGCTGAAAAGACAGAGTGAAGAAGCAGAGAAGGGTTGGTAGGAGCTCACGTGGGAGAACAAGGAAATCAGAGCAGAAAGGCCTCTCCCCAGGACATCAAAGAAGCTCCAAGAAAACGGAAATAAAGAGCAGGAAGCTCTTCAGCCCTCATCCGCAGGACACCAAAGCRGGAGAGGTGAGCACACCTGTGTCCCTGGCCCCCTGCAGCACCCCTGTGGCTTAAGGAGATCCCTCAGCTTTTGCTCCYGCTTACCTTGTGCCTCACTTTACCCATTTGGACCTAAAAACAAAAATCCCTTTCCTCTTCTTGGTGAAGAATCACCAAGATTAGGACAAAGACAAATCAGAACCTCCAGACCCACAATTTCAGAAAAGGGGCATGGTGGGCTCATAATGACCACAATAACGTCACTGTGGCTCTGCTTCCAAAAACAAAGCCTGTCCGCCCTCATGAACAACCCTTTGTTCTCCCAGCAGCTCCAACCTGAAGGAGCAGCACACCTGCCCAGGGTCACCTCAGAAGCCTCCCATCTTCCTCTGCTAAGCCAGCACTCCTGCTCCCCTAACCTGCAAGGCCACTGATCCCACAAGCCCCCCCAAAATCACCCTCACTCATTTCCCTCAAAGAAGAAAGACCCACCCCACCCACCTTCATTTCTAGTTCAAGGTCACCAAGAATGAAAGCTTGCCTGCCCAGCAGCAGCCTCCACCTACCCCTGTCTGGGGCAGTCCCTCTCTCCATCCATCCCTCTCTCCAATTGTCGGCTCTACCCTGCTCCTCCATTGACCTCCAGGTTTTCACAGCCTCCTGGAGCTGCTCTCTTCCCTCTTTTTATTTTATTATCTGTCTTTGTTCCTGCCCCATTCCCCCCCCCCCTTTTTTTTTACCTCCCTCCTTTGCTGTTTGAGGTTAAAAAGCACGCTCTGGTATGCCATAAATTACTTGGCAAGAGTGGATGACAAAAACAAAATGTAATTCAGATTAAAGTCACCCTCCAGCTGAAATGATAGTTTATTAAATAGATGGCCAGGCTGCCGATCAACCTTGCTGGCAACTGGTCCTCCTATATTAATCTTTCTTGGGGTGATTTAGGATCCACCTGGGTCCTCGGAGAAGATTCTCCCATCATTTCCTTCCCATCTCTCTGGATCAGGCTGCTGGGCTTGGCGCAGTTGACAAATTCCCCAAGTAATCCCTCAAAAGATTGGAGAAATGCTCCGAACGCTCCATTAAATTTATTTTCCATGCTTTAAGAGACCCAAAACTATGTCCAATAAATAAGTGTTCCCTGTGATTTACTGAAATGCTCCTCTGATTTAAAGTTATAGGAGGAAAAATATGGAGCCCCTGGGAGCCCAGGACCAGCCTTGCAAGTGAGACCAGATGTGAGATTTCTGGCCAGGGAGAGGAGAAGAAGGAAAAAAAAAAAACCAAAAAAACAGCCCAACGGGTGGAGGTTTGAAAGTGACAACGTCTGAACCCCGGTTCTCGGCTTTAACATAAAAGGTCCCCAGTTGAGCATTCTTTCTCACAAAATTTATTGTGGTTGTAGTTAGAGGGGGAACCATCAAAAGAGTAATTCTGGCCCTTGTTTTGCAGAGCTCTTTTGATAAATATGATACTTAGAAATATACCTCCCCCTAGACAGAAAAGCCATATAGTTAAAATGAAGTAATCTGTCAGTAAACTCACTAGAATCAAAGCCAAAATGAAACCTGTAAAAGGAGAAGAGAAAAAAAAAAAACCCTCCACTTAGAAACGCTTGAGTCAAGCAGGGGAGAAGGTGGAGATTAAGAATTGTCCTTTATTCAGATATTTTTATCTACAAAGTTAAAAGCGGAGATTTATTTTTAAAGGGGGCTATTTATGTTCCAATCTTCAACAGATGGGTCTGTGTTCCTGCCTCTCTCCTGCAGCCCAGGCTCAGCAAAAACAGCTTCTCTCTGGAGCTGAAACTTATCCAAAAGGAGGAGGAATTAAAAACTTTGGAAGCAAATGTAACCTTTGGAGCTGCTTGGTAAATATTGGATCTGTTTACTACAGAGGCCTAGATGTGCCAAAACCAAAAAACAAACAGGAAGGGGGGGAAAGAGCAGATGTGAAGACTAAACTATACATGTGTATATGTTATGTATATATGTTGTGTGTGTGTGTGTACGCACACTGATTCCCAAAGGGCTGGAGAGTTTAGGCTAAGAAAGCTCCCAGTGAGGAGGTGACATCTTCAATGGATTGTCCAAATAGTCCCATCTTTGGAGTACCCTAAGAGTCCCCCTCGACCTGATAAATCACCTGTTTAGAAAATGCGTTTCTCATGCTTAATAACAATATCTTTAGAGTAGACCCCTCCTGAAGAAATGACCCCTCAAAATGTCTTGGTCTTCTCTACTCTTGTATCTACACCAAAAGAAACTAAGCTCCATGGCTCCAGCACTATTGGGCAAGCTACTTTGGCAACACAGGGTTCCAAGCTTCAAGAGTGGCGCGGCCATCCCAGGACAAAGCTCTCCTACTCACCAGCCAGAAGGCGCTGGTCTGGGCTGCTTCCCCAGGGCCTCATCCCAGAAGAGCCTCCTTTGGGACTTCCCCATCTCTGTCCCCAGAACAATGGCTTGGAGAATGGGGAGTCCCCATCTCTGCCATCCATGATTGAGGGGAAAGAAGAGCTACTTGTTCTTTATCCTGAATTCACATTTCCCCCAGTGCTGAGACAAAAAGCAAGCATAAGACCCACAGTTCGTGTGTATGTGTGTGTGTGTGTGTGTGTGTGTGTGTGTGTGTGTGTGTGTGTGTAAGAGAATTATAATATCAAACTCAGCTGGGCACAGTGGCCCATACCTATAATCCCAGTGGGTCAGGAGGCTGAGGCAGAAGGATCTCAGGTTCAAGGCCAGGCTCAGCAACTTAGCAAAGCCCTAAGCAATTCAGACAGATCTTGTGTCTAAATAAAATATAAAAAAGAGCTGGGGATGTGGCTCAGTGGTAAAGCGCCCCTGGGTTCAATCCCTGGTACTAAATAAATAAATCAGAGCCTAAAATGACGCTGGAAAGGGAGAAGATAAAGCATAAAGGAAAGGTGTCTTGCAAAGGGTCTCCAACATCAGATGACCCCAGATCTGACTCTAGCTCTGTCATTGGACAGCTGTGTGACATTAGACATCTGTGTGACCTTTCAGCCTTCTGAGACCTGTGGCTTCACCAGCCAGAGACTGAGTTTCTTCATCTCTATGGCAAAGGGCTGAACCGAAGGACCTCCTGATCCTCTGACTGCCAGCGGCACTCCCTCCCGCAGGCCCGGGCACCTCCCGGCCCTCCCCGGCACCAGTGCTGGTCTGGACAGAGCTGGAGGGTGTGGAGTTTGAGCGGCACCTGTGTTTACACTGTACAATCTGCAGTTTACTGTAATAAAATCATTTAATACAGTCATAATTTTTTTGGCAAGAGGTTGTGTTTATGGTGAGCAAGACGGAGAGGGAATGATTGACTATGACTGATTAAAACGATAAATCAAAACCAAAGGAGGGAGGGACATGAACAGCACAAAGCCACAGGCAAATCCAATTTAAGTCTCAAGTTTTGCGCCTTTATGGGAACAACTTGGTCTGATGGTGTGCCAGCTCTGGAGGTGAGGGCCTGGGGCCCAAATGGGAGAGATGGAGGCACAGGATCCGACACTTCGTCTCAATGGGGCTGATCCTCCTAGGGTAGGGAAATATGGAAACAGCTTGACAAGAACTGGTTTCCTTGGGCCTCCATATTCACAAAGAATTTAGAAGGATGTTTCAGAATCACTCTGTGTGTGTGTGTGTGTGTGTGTGTGTGTGTGCATATAGGTATGATAATTTGAACATGACCTAGAGGGACTTTCCAGCATCAAAGCTATCCCTCTAATACAGTACCTGAAATTCCACATAACAAGGATTACCTAAGATGGCAAACTTCCCTCCTTGAAAACATGGTCCTTCAACAACTAGGCACAGGCTACAAGCTGGACAGGGCTAAAGGTAATAAACAATTGTTCACCCGACAAATGATGACCAAATGCTTACGCTGGACCCAGTACCCTCTTAGGCTCCAGCAAGAGAAGAATGAAACAAGAATCCCTAGCCCCATGGAATCTATATTCTTATGGCATTTACATCCTTATGAATTAAGGGCCACATTCACCTCCAGAAAGAAGCCCCCTTCTCAACCGTTCTTTATATTAGAGTGTGCTAAATGCTGTGAGTTCTGAAGGAGGCATCGGAAGGTAGACCATATCAGACCTACAGACCACCAGTTATGTTTTTAGGATTCATTTACTTACTATAAAGCACCCCATCCTGGAATAGCTCCTCCTGGTTCTGACTGGTCTCCTTTCTGAGAGAGACTCCACCCCTACTGCTAAAACTGGCCTAGGAGCTGCCCAGTCTAGATTCCTTCACCCTCCATTACCACTTTTACTGGCATAGGTGGCTTACTTGGTGAGCTGGTCCAGATCCTCATCCTTCATCAGGTCACCAAGCCTCCCCAGAATATAGCTGTTGTACTTGTCCACTGGCCATCAAAACTGGACATGAGGGCATGGTGGTGCATGCTGGTAATCCCAGCAACTTGGGAGGCTGAGGCAGAAGGATCTCAGGTTCAAGGCTAGCCTCAGCAACTTAGTAAGGCCCTAAGCAACTTAGTGAGACCTTGTCTCAAAATAGAAAATAAGGGGGGGGGGGCGCTAGGGATGTGGCTCAGTGCTTGAGCATCACTGAATTCAATTCCTAAAAAAAAAAAAAAAAAAAAAAAAATCACAATTTAAAATTGGACGTGGGAATTTCAAAAGATACCTCAGTGACACTCGCTGTTGAGAGCCACAGCCAAAGGGGCCCCAGCAAACTTCCAGCTGCCGGCTGATGATTGGCTCACAGCAGCCCCAGCAACATCTAGCTGATTGGCTCCTCTGCGGTGATGCTCATTGGGCTGTTTCCCTGCCCTTTCAGACCACGGAGCTGCTCATTGGGGGACTTTTTTGGTTCCGCCCACGTGACTCAGCCAATTGGCCTCAAGAGCAGGAGGATTGTGGGAGGTGGAGAGAGGCTTGTGTTGGGGTGAGAGGCTTGTGGGAAGCCGGTGGTGGCAGTTGGGCTCTGAGGGTTTTTCCTGAGGAGCTGTTTTGTTTRGCGTGTGGTTCTAAAAATAAAGTTAGTTTCTTTTGACAAGTGGCTCCTGAATTGTGCCCAGCCAGACTGCGGCACCTCGCCTCTTACTGCATGTCAGCAGCCTTACCTCTCCCAATGAATGAGATCAATGACACCTAACAACTGGTGACTTCTGTCCTGGCTTTCTCTTCTCTTGGCAAGGTCAAGGAGTCTGAGATACCTGTCAATCTAAGGTGACCAACCAGTTGTCATGGCAAGAGCTAGATGGAATTCTTGCTTTGTTTTCAGTTAGAAGCATTCCCCTCTAAGAAGCAAACTTTGGTCTCACATAACCTTTAGGAAGAAGCATTTTCCCCAACTGGATCACAGCTGGTGAGAGTAATCAGGATGGCTTCTCCTGGTCCAGCACATTGTACCTGTTGGAGACAAACCACATAAGTCACCAACTGAGGATCCATGATGCATCCTGGAGGATATACCTTATCTTCAAAGAGCATCCTCTCCACTGGCACCTGAGCTATGCCTGTGAAGAAGGTAGTCCCATCTGTTTATCCAGCCAACATCTTCTGGGTGATGTGATATGTGACCAGTTGACATCACGGTCACATATCCACTGCAATTGTCCTTCACTATAAAGCGGGTCCCTTGGCCCAAGCAGTGTTACACAGAATACCACACTGGTGAATCACCCTCTGCTAGCCTTCGGATTGTCCTTTCTCATAGAAGACGTTGCTCAGTGTCTTGCAAGTGGGTGCTCCCTCCCAAGAATAAACTGATAGTATTCTGGTGGAGGCAGGGTCACCTGTGCAACAACAGCAGATGACACAGGAGTCTGAGCTACCTGTCCAAACAGCTTACTTGTGTCTTCTGGCACTAGTGCCTGCACACAGGTATCCCACTTCCATCTTACTTGGGATTGTTCTTGGACCTTGGTGTGTCTGAGAGAAGAGAACTCAGCTCCTGATGGCCAGGTTCTGCCTCTACATGGACCTGGTACCAACACCAAGAGCTCTTTTAAGAGGTGAAGACAGCATGGTTTTCTCCAGATCCCTAGGGATTTCTATTGTGTCTGTCCTATTAGGAGAATGGTAACTTTTCACTCCTTAAGTTCCTCTAATATCATGAAGTCCATMAGTCAGGTCTATAACCCAGGAAGCTGGGATTCTTTTACCTTGAACTTTATGTATAACCACTTTCTGCCCTGGGTTCCCCTCCAAACTGAAAATCATCCACATCAGTAGGTCAATGGATCAGAGCTGTGATCCCGAATGTGAGGCCTACTGCCTCAAGAGACCTGAGGTGTTGTGCTTATGTCTTGGTGGTAGAGAATGGAGAATGTCTTTTAGTTTGAAGGGGATGTCCCAGCATGATCCAGACCACAGGATCCCTTAAAACTTCATTAATATAATAAGCACTGGAATATTTGTTGAGTGTATCTCCCATGGTCTATTGTTGTATGCATCTTATCAATTCTTCCTGTATACTTGCCATTTCCTATAAGCCCCACTATGCTTATCAAAGTGGCATCATTTCAGTAACCAAGGCAGGCATGGTGGGACAGACCTGTAATCCCAGTGCCTAAGGAGGCTGAGGCAGGAGGATTGTGAGTTTAAGGCTAGCCTCAGCAATTTAGTGAGGCCCTAAGCAATCTAGTAAGACCCTATCTCAAAATTAAAAAGGGCTGTGGATATAGCTCAGTAGTTAAGCACCCCTGGGTTCAATCCCTAGTACAAAAGAAAAAAAAAAAAACAGTGACCAATATGACATTCTATGAAATGTCTAGATGGCTCCAATCCCCTCAGCCATTATTATAACAGAGAGTAAAAGAACTCATAGAGCCCTAGGCCAGGTCATAAATGTATTCTGTTGCTCACCTCATGTAATGTGAACTGCTTTGAGTCTCCTTCTTGTTAGGTAAGGGGGAAAAATGCATTCACCAGATCAATGGCCACATCCCCTGTGCCTAAGGCCATGCTAATCTGTCAAGCAATGATACTGCATCTAGAGAAGCAGTTGCAAATGGGGTCCCACTTGGTTGAGTGGTAGTTCACAGTCATCCTCCAGGACCCATCTGGGTTTTGTAGGGGCCAGACTCGTGAGCTAAATGAAGATAGGATAAAAACAACAACCCCTGCATCTTTCAGGTCTTTAAAAATAGCACTCGTTTCTGCCATTTCCCTCTCCTTAGGATGCAATACTGGGGGGGGGGGGGGAGATTCTGAGGCCACTTGTCAATTCCCATTCCAATAGCTCTAACCCAACATGCTAAAGGGAACAAAGTTATGATCCTGCCAAATAGCAAGTCGATTCCAGTTACACATTCAGGGAACAGGGAAACAATCACTGGATGGGGTAGTGGAGCACTTGGAGGACCCAGTGGATCCATTAGAAACCAAACTTAGTAAGACTGTACTCATCCTTTAATTTCCTGGGTGTCAAGGTCAACTCAAACCCTGTGTCCAAAAGTCATTAGGTATTCTGTTCTCTCCAAATTATGGAGACCCAAGTAAATGGTCATATACCCCCATGAGGAAGAATTGAAGAAATTACGCTATTATATGTTTGCTATGGTTTTGCAAGGTCTTTTCCTCTGGAGACCTGGCCTATCTTTCTGTTGATGGGTCTAATTACTGGCTCAAGTCTAGGAACCAGGCAAGGAATCATAACTTTCATTACGGTGACTTGTCTCAGTCTCCTGAGTATTCATCCTGAACTTCTTTGGGATATAGAGATTCTGCAGTACCCAAATTACCTTCCCAGCTATATGCCCCCAGTACCATGCTGTACTATGTTCACAGCTCTCTGCAAGTCAGGGCCCCCTCTGAGTTTTGACCCTGCTCCTCATGATGACTGTGCCTACTCTGTTTCTGGTTATTAAGTGACATCACCTGGCCCCTCTTATTCGTGGACTCTACCATCCCTACTGCTATAAGAGAGTAAAATTCTATAACAGAATATCCTATATTGTTAGTCCTAGCCCACAGAGGACAGTCACCACTGAGCTTCTTCATGACACTGGTGTCAAAAATATGGTTCTTATCACTTTGGTAAATGTGGGGGGACTCCGGGGKCTCTCTTAGGAGGTAGGCAGTAGCGGGATTCAGGCTTGCGTGGTAGATCAATATAGCGTACCCCCCTCTGTAAGCCTTTTGAACTCTTCTCACACTGACTGCCATGGGTTTCTAGAACTTCCACTTCACATAGTATTTAGACCTTCATTTCTCTAAGCTTTCAAGATTCACTCTGGCAGCAAGCTAGCTCAGTACCAGGGTAGTCTACCTTGTCATATGGGTAAATCCTAGATAAGAATGCTCCCACATCCTAATTAGAGTAAGTTACACTCCAGGTATATATAAAATACACTCTAATGACATGTATATCTAAAAAGAATTTTAAAAGGTAAAAAATAATGCTCCCATAGCAAAGCAAAATTGAAAAACAAAATTCTCATTCCATTTATTTTTACAACCTTTGATCTAGCACCCTCAGAATGCAGCCCCACACATATCTCCCAGCTCTGGAGATGCATATGGTCTTGCAAATCACTTGAAATAGCGTCCCTTGCCTCCTTGGCAGGCCCAATGCGGCTATGACCAGTTGTGACTTGTCCCTAGTTACTAGGCTGGTGTCCAGGAAGGAAAAGGACAGTTAAATCCTGAGGGGTATACACTTTCTCTGGCAAGACACAGGCACCTGCACCATCTTCCAGCAAGGGAGGAATGTCAGTCTGTAAGAGGGAAAGGGTTGGCTCTGCAGGTCCAGATGGTTCTGAGAAACCTGAGATTCAGTTTTTAGTGTATCAGCCCAAATGTCCCCATTCCCAATCTCAGGGCCCATTCATTTCCAATTAGCCTGATTAGTCCTGATTTTAGCATGACTTAGTGGGATTGAGAACTCAGCTTCTCTGTAACTCTGCTATCCTGACATTAAGGTCACAGGCCTAACCCTTACCTCTTTCTGCCCTCCAACTTTAGGCAATAAAATTCTCTTTTTATGCTTCCAAGGAGGCCCTTGGTGGTAAGTTGGTGACTAATTACCTTTAGTCTTTTATTTCCTTCTTTAAGACATCAACAGTTATGTTTCCTTAGTCCTTATAATTACTACTCCCCCCAAAACTCCTCTGAGTACCTGAGATATTATACCTGCCAGAATACTTCCATCAGTAGCCCACCCTGCCCCACCACCAGGGACAGTTTAAACAAATGGAACCAGTTTCTGTTAGGGCTTCACCTACCACCAGAGTCAGGATCCTCACTGCACATTGGCTGGTAGGTAATCCGGCTCCCAGATCCCATTTTAATATCTATTTCCTGGCCCCTTTCCCATATCCAATATTATAGGTCCATTTGCCTCCGAAGCAGACTTTGGAATGGAGGTTTGCTTACAGGTGACTTATTGGGATGTGATTTTGAGAGTAAAGGAATCAGGGTTGATCTGAAGTTGATCAACAGCCATGTGGCTGCAACAGAAGCCTTAGCCAATTCCACAGAGTGCCAGAGCTAGACTGACCTTCGGAGAGGTCCCACATGGACACAGGGGACCAGATCCTTCTAGAGCACATTGCGCAGACATTGGATAATCAGCTGCCTCTGAGAAGGGGCCAAACCTTGGGTGAGACAGAGCCCTTCCATTACAGGCAATGTCTGGGGAGGGTCTAAGTCATGTCTCATCAGTAGCAACACTTCCAGCAGCAAGGAGAACAAGTGCCTTTGTCCCCAGGGGGATCTGGGTCATTCACAATAACATTTCACTACAACCCCCAAAACTGGTCCAATAGTGAAGGTTAAGAAATTTTTGGCCAGTGCCACCCCCACCCCCTGCAACAGCATGCAACAGACTTGTCAAAGAGAACTCTGCTCACAGAACTGACTCCTGTGGGCCACGGCTTCATGGATACACTGGTCAAGGAAAAGGGGTAGGGAGACAGGGAGTATGCCTCACTTTACTTCTTCTAGGCCACCACAAAAAATATTTACCCACCATCAAATTCATATCTTAAAACCTGATCCTCAAATGTGATAGTATTTGGACAAGGGCCCTCTGGGAGGTGAACAGACTGAGGTGGAGCCATTGCCAATGGGATTAGTGCCCTTATAAAAAGAGACCCAAGAAAGCCTCACACCTTCTGCCATATGAGGACTCAGCAAAAGGATGACCAGGGGACTAGGGATATAGCTCAGTTGGTAGAGTGCTTGTTTCACATACACAAAGCCCTGGGTTCAATTCCCAGCACCACACAAAAAAAAAAAAAAAGACCAGGGAGTAGACCTTCATCCAATTCTATAGACACCCTGACCTTGGATGCCCCAGCCCCCAGAATTGCTGATGTTTGTTTATGCCACCTGGTCTTTAGTATTTTTATTATAGCATCCTGAATGGACAAGGATGTGTGCAAAGCACGTTTGTCCATAGAAAC